CATGTACAGTTCATCCCGAGGGAAGTGGTCCGTGACTATGGCCTGAACCTCCGGCAAGATATCACGCTGGTGGATCCTCACCGGAGGGAATTTCCGGCAAGGTGCCTGACGTGGAAGGACGGCAGAAGGGTCGTCTCCGGCGGGTGGAGGATTCTGTGCAATGTCAACCTAGTCAGAGAGGCTGACGTCATCATCTGTGAGTTCGTACGAGGAGACGGCGGCCGCCAGTTCATTCAGATTAGTATTGTGCGAGCGTAATATATATATATATTTTCAGTTAAAGGATATTTTTGCTAAATATGAACTTAAGCAAAGTGAATTTAATTTTTTGAGTGTGATTGGATATAAATCTTGACTGATTTTGACTGAATTTTTATTTAATTATAGTTAATTTTAAAAATTGATGTATTAGGTTTGAGTGAAATTATGATTTTGTACTAAAATAATATTTAAAATAAAATGTTAAAGTTTATTTGATGTAAAAATATGAGAAATGTAATTGGAAGAGTGGGTACGTAGTCAAAACTATGAGTGAATGAATAATGACATAAAGTTAATGTGATATGTAAGGTTGATCGATTAATATTATTTAATTATAATAGTTGGTAATATCAAAATAAACTTACATTGTGATTGTAAAAATATGATTATTATTTATATCCAATCACACCCACATGATTTGCTCGTTAGGGACCGATGTCCTGTATTTGACTTTAAGTTGAATTCTTAGGAATTTTAATCAATTTGACGGATTGAGTTATTTTGATTTATATTTCTTAATTCAAAATACAACTCAAGCTAACTCTACTCAATATTATCAATATAATTAAATGATATCAATCAATTATACTCACATATCACATCAACTTCAATTCAATATTTATCAACTCGTAAAATTTTAACTACTTATCACTTCTAATAATTATTCTTCTATTTTTACATCATATCAACTTTGATCATTATGTTTTAAATATTATTTAATTACAAGCTCAAAATTATTTACTCAATTAACTTTATTCAAAATAATTTACTTTAACCAACCAAAACCGATTTAATTTATATCTAATCACGTCTTAGGTCTACATTGCAATATTGTGTGACTTTAGTCCACATCGCATATATCACTTTTATTTATAATATACATCAATTCTATCTACCTAAACCATGTATGATAAATATGTATAATCATCGGCCGTCGGTGAGTATGGGTTCATGCTCCTTTGTTTCTGTATCTATAGGTGTGGCTCGCTGCGCTTTTGGACCCCTTTCGAGAGCCCTCTGACGTGGGTCATTGGTGGCTTTTCCGGTGATTGCACTCCTTCCCCGGCGTGGATGATTTTTCAGAGTCCAGATCTGAATCGAGAACAGACTTTTCATTAGATCCGTCTATGCGGCACGAGTGGCCGCAATTTTCGGGTTTGAGGTTTCGGTTTACGGCTTTATTGGATCTCTATACTATTGGAAGTGGCTCGTGTACGGTCTCGGGTGGCCGAGGGTTGGGTCTGTTAGGTGTAGGGGAGGTCTTAGTTTATTTGTTTATTAGGTGTGTATTTTTATTTGTTTTTCATGTGTTGGTCCAACTTGTCTGGTTTTGTCTCCTTTATGGAGTTTCATTTTGTTTTTGCGGTTGCCTCCTTGTTGGAGATGTACCTCTTGGATTCCTCTAGAATTTCAAGAGGGTAGGTCCAGTTATCTGGTTCTTTGGTATTCGTTGACATCTCCTCTGTACTCTTTTCGAGTTTTGTATTTATATTAGTGTTTGCCGTTTGAAAAGAATAAAAAATAATAAATTTACTTATACATGTGATATATATTATGTTGGGTTCGATAGTACCGTACGGGCTTTAAGCAGCGGAATTTAAAATTTTTCAAAGTAAGTATTTATCGAATAAATACAACACCCGTACATACTAATAGCGAATTAACTGATCGTCATCTTTAAAACATGCATCACATACAAATTTTGATTTGTTATAATAAAGTAAATACAAATACAAATAAATAGTATTTACCGAGTAGTTCTTGAACTCCCTTCAATTTAACCGAAGTGGATTGTGGGAATCGGTTCCCTGTTTGTAACGTCAACGGATTGAGGTTACTCGCTTGAGGAATCCAAGTGTCTTCCCTCTAATCGTATCTACCCTATGAAGCCCGGTTCCGACTACCTTCCTTCGCTAGTAGGAATGTCTCGGTTTTCTCGTATAGGACTATATATATATATAGATATAATTTGGGAATTTCCAAGAACACTTTCTTGAAATATATGAAGAACACTTTCTTCTCTCTTTGAATTTCTCACAAAATCACTTAGCATAATTTGCAAACATTTTGCATCTATTTATACTAAACATTTTAGCATAAAATAATCAATATTTAGTAATATTAAATAAAATCTGATTTTATTTAAAAATCATATTACTAACTATTGACTTTATATATAATAAACAATGTTAAGTAGTTCAAACAACCATCTAACCACCATTTATTATATTCATTTTATTATTTTAATCCTTAAATCATATTTAAAGATAAAAATAATAATATAATAATAAATCTTGAGAATCTATTCCAAGACTTTATTATTATATTCATTTCCCAATTTTCATCCATATTATAATAATCATATTATTATTATTTTGGATTTGAAATTTAAAATCCTATTTTAAAATTCAACTTTATTAATTTAGTAATTACTTTAATTACTAAAGTAATATCCAAAATGTAATTAATCAATCTTATTGATTAATATATTCCTTTAATTGACATCTAATCAAATTAGATATTTATCAATTAATTCTAACCATTAGAAATACAATCTTTACCTTTGTTCATAATTAGTGTGACCTTTTAGGTTCACTATTAATACTAGTAGTGGGTTTACAACACTTTGTAATTTGAGTTAAATCTTATTAACTCTTATTCAAGAATTAACCCCTTAATTCATGAACCCACATATCATGGTAACACCTAGCAAGTATCATGAATCTAGTATTAAGTGAATAGCGAGTAAACCTATTCCGATTACAACTCCATACATGTAAAATCCTTTCGACATCTAATTTCCCGATTAAGTCTTGGGTATGATTTTGTCGAAACCCAAATTGACTTAATAACTATGATTCTATTTCATGTTTATTAACCCGGTTATGAATCACTATTCATCTCTGCCTTGGCCAAGGACTTTGGATTAATAACTATGAAACACATAGGAAATTCACTTATCTTCATAAGTGTCGAATCCTTTATTGGCCACTAACAAACTTCCATACATATTAACATAATACCCAACTTATCCCTTTAAACGATAGTGCTAGCTACCAAAAGGATAAATCAAAGTAGAATGTAATATGCACAAAGTTACCATTGTGCCTCAAGTCTTAGGATTAGTCATGTACTATTGTAACATGAAAATTCTTATTCGACTGAATAAATTCTTCATTAAGAATTTTCATACGGTCATGTTCAGTGAACTTGTTCTCTAACAAGCACCCACATAAATGTACTTACGTCTTACGCTAATGTTGATGGAATGCAACATTCTTGTCCAACAAGCATACAAACTATGTGCAAGTCTTTTATGGATTATTCGATATCCCATCTCGAAACATCCATCGACTTGGAACTGTATTTAAGATCACGGCTTTCAAGGTATGTTCCATGATCACCATCTCTATGCGCAACCATACCTTATAACCATAAGTGATCTAGGGATTTTATCTTAAGTGCAATTATAAGATAAATGCTTTCTCTTAAGATAAAGAAATGCCTTATTCATAATATAATTCCAATAGACTGTATTTACAAGTAGAATACGTCCAATTAGATTGGAACGCCGGGTACCCTACTCTAACATATTATGCATATTCATGGTGATAAGAAATTAAAACCAGGCCCCAACTATCTAAAGCTGACTCCATAATAAACAAATAACACAACTCGACCCAAAGGAGAAGTGAGAAAAAAAAAAATTATCGGTAACTCCTAGATTAAATGAGTCGCTCGTGAGCTCGACTCGACTCAGGTTGTTAAGGCTCGAGCTCATTTAAAACTAGTTTGGTTAACGAGTCATAACGGTTCGGCTTGATAAGGCTCAAAAAGATAATTTTTATGTAATTTTCTATAGTTTGACTCGTTAAAGCTTGATTTTGACTTAAGGGTCAAGTTCGACTCGTTAACATTGAAAAACGCTCGATCTCGTCTCGCCTCGTCTCGTCTCGTCTACAGCCTTTATAATATTCCAAAATAGTTTGAAGGAGAAATAATATTACATGTAATACACGCGAGTATTTACATACATCACACATATATCACACATAATTTTTACACACATACATCTAACACATATTTTACACTACTTTTTAGTTTAAAACATTCGTACTTTTTTAGTGAAATATATTTTAAATTGAAATATTATGCTCTAAAATATAAACAATATTGATAATGTGGTTCCCATTGGATGATTAATTCACACCACACACACACACATTGTATATATATATAGAGAGAGAAACATTTAATAAATAAATTTGACTTTTTAATTACTGGCTAATTCATAAATAAAAATATTTAATAAAACCTCTCTTTTTTTTTTCCGCCCAAAAACCTCTATTTTTTTCAATTAATGTGGAACTATTACATTATACATTAATGAAGTGTAATAATAATTTAAACTAATATATTATATAATAATTACTACTAATATTAGCTAATTATAAATTTACATTAAATAGTATGTGAAAGTTACATACTTATAAAAAAGTTGTATTGCAATTTTCTTTTATTAAGATACTTATTCTATAATAAATATTATTTTTCGTCTTATTAAACGGTTTTTCTCTAATATTAGTTAATTGAGACGAGTGTTATAATTAAACTCCTTAAAATTAAATAAGTAATTACTATAACAACACTAAAAATAGTTTAATACTTTTCTAGCTAGTTAATCGTATGGTCCCTCTAAATTACAAAATTACATTGTTCATTAAAATTTATGTCATCAATATAAAGATTCACATGCAAGTTAAATAATTTATATTTATATTGTACGTTTGTGTATATTTAAAAATTTTAAAATGTAATATATCCATTGTTTAATTTTAAATTTTAAATATTGTATATATACATATAATATAATTTTTTTATTAATTTGTCTTTGTACATGTGCACAGGGACGAATACTAGTATATATAATTGCTAGCTAAGCAATTAATAAAACTCTTTTTGTTTTCTCTCCATTTTTCGTTACTTTTGCATTAATCAAATAATTATATTATTTATTAATTATATTCTATAACTGTTACTATTAACTTATCATAAAATCGTATTAAATGTCACTAGTTTCTAAAGATTTTTTAAAACTATTTATTTAAATTTTTTTTTTCAACTCATTACGCAAGTTTTTTTTATTAAAATTAGTTAATCATTTTTTTTTGACATAATCAAACTATTTAAAATTTCATACACAATTTCTATAATGATAATTTTAATATTATTTTATTCAATTAATTGATCATAATCAATCAAAACTGCATCAGTATAAATATTAATATATAAGTTAAATAATTTATATTTATATCATTACTAATAATAAAATATAAAATATATTATGATCATCATCTAACTTATGATTTTAAATATTACATAAAGACACATTTATCTTAAAATTTTGTTTACAATATTTGTGCATGTGCACAATGCTAGTTGTTGCTAGTAGTTTTAACAATTGTGATGAGAAATAACTCTTTGGACTAGAGCACCACCGGCGAATAAATGAATACCTAAAAAATCTTGTCTTTTTATGACATTAATCACAAGCCGGAAAACAACATAACAACTCGGCCCCCACTGAACACCTACCTATTTCTCTTTCTCGTTCCTTCTTCCTTCGTCTTTTCCGGCGACCCAAAATCCCAGATTTCCGAAATCAATATTTTCTGCAAGAATCGGAAAGTGGTAATATCTAATTAAAAACCCAAACAAATTCAAAAGATAATGGCGAGATGCTTCAGCTTCACAGCCTCCAGGGACTCCTGCTACCGTCGCTCCTTCTCCACCGCCGGCCTCAGGCCCACCACCACCAACCTCGGCGACGGCACCGTCGTCCACTGCTGGGCCCCCAAAACCCACCGCCCCAACAGGCCCACCGCCCTCCTCATCCACGGCGTCGGCGCCAACGCCATGTGGCAGTGGAACGACGTCGTCGCGCCCCTCGCCGCCCGATTCAACGTCTACGTCCCGGACCTCCTCTTCTTCGGCGACTCCCGGACGGCCCGGCCCGAGCGGACCGAGTCCTTTCAGGCCCGGTGCGTGATGTCCGCTATGGAAGCCCTTGGGGTCCGCGCCGGGATCCGGATCGTCGGGCTGAGCTACGGCGGGTTCGTGGCCTACAGCCTGGCGGCGCAGTTTCCCGGCGCGGTGGAGAGGGTGGTGGTCGGCTGCGCCGGAGTGTGTATGGAGGAGAAGGACGTGGAGGAGGGTTTGTTTCCGGTGGGGAGCGTGGAAGAGGCAATCGAGATTCTGCTCGCTCGGACGCCGGAGAAATTGAGGGAGCTGATGAGGCTGTCGTTCTATAAGCCGGCCAAGGGAGTGCCGTCTTGCTTTCTGTCGGATTTTATCGATGTGAGTCTTGAATTTACAGAGTAAAAATGCTATCTTTATCCAAATTTTTTTCCCTTCTTTCTTTCTTTCTTTCTTTCTTTCTTTTTCTTTTTTTTTTTTTTTTTTTT